GCTGACAGTGGCTATGGCCTTGCAACTGGATCTTTCCGACCAGCGGCAATGGACTCAACAATTGGAAGGCTCAAGACATTATCTCAATCTCCTTTAGTCAGGAGTAATAGCCAATTTCTTTTTTATGGCTTACAAAGTTTTGGTTATGTAATTTATTTAAACAATGACTTTAAGCCTTGTGCCTTACCTGGGGCACAATGGTCCAATTGTTAAGGGTTGTCATTTCATAAACATATCTTCATTTAATAAAGCATTGGAAGTTTTGCATTCAAATTTTGCACTCTAAGTATTTCTTTTATTTTATCACTTTCAAATAGCTATATGTTCTCACACATACCCAAACAATAAATTGCAGATCCACATCAACTTTGGATCCCGTTGATAATGATTTTGCTATTGCCACTTATGACTTTGAAAATATGATCTACCAAGCCAAGGACGAAGGTGAGGAAGATTGTGAAATACCTGGAGAGCATGATAGACTGTTAGTGCAAGGGGAAAGGCTATACAACTGCATGAAGAGTCGGTCGAGGTTGTAAATTTGGGTACTGAAGCAGACAGGAAAGAAGTCAAGATAGGTGCCAATTTAGAAGACGGTATCAAGAACAGGTTAATTCGGATGTTGCATGATTATGTTGAGATCTTTGCTTGGACGTACGAAGACATGCCAGGATTGATACGAATATTGTGGTTAACCATCTACCAATGAAAGAGGGTTGTTCTCCAATAAAGAAAAAAGTTCTTCTCATGCGTCCTAAGATGTCAGAGAAGATCAAGGTTAAGGTTATGAAGCAATTCAATAAAGGTTTCTTAGCAGTTACATCATATACTCAATGGGTGAAAATGTGGTTCTGGTACCAAAGAAAGATGGAAAAGTGCGTATGTGTGTAGATTACATAGATCTAAATAGGGTAAGCCCCAATGATGACTTTCCGCTTCCACATATTGAAGTTATGGTCAACAAACCCACTCAACATAAGGTATTCTCCTTCATGGATGGTTTCTCAGGTTATAATCAGATCAAGATGGCGCCCGAAGACATGGAGAAAACAACCTTCGTCACACAGTGGGGCACTTTCTGTTACAAGGTTATTCCTTTTGGGTTGAAGAACGTCGGTGCCACATATCAGTGTGCTATGGTAGCCTTGTTTCATGACATGATCCACTATGAAATCGAAGTTTATGTTGATGACATGATAGCTAGATCCCAGACTGAAGAGGAACATCTTGCCCATCTACACAAGTTGTTTGAGAGACTGAAGAAGTACAAGCTGAGGTTATATCCAAACAATGCGCTTTTGGGGTGAGATCCGATAAGCTCCTGGGTTTCGTTGTCATTGGTAAAGGTATTGAAGTTGATCCTTCCAAGGTCAAAGACATTAAAGAAATGCCCACTCCCTGCACCGAGAAGGAAGTTAGAGGTTTCTTGGGACAACTAAATTACATGGCCCAATTCATTTCTCATTTGACTGCTACATGTGAGCCGATATTCAAGTTGCTGAAGAAAGATCAGGTAGTAAAATGGAATGATGATTTCCAGATAGCCTTTGACAAGATTAAGGAGTATCTCAAAGAAAATCTAATTCTGATGTCGCCAGTTGAAGGAAGAACTTTAATTATGTACTTAATAGTGTTAGATAACTCAATGGGGTGTGTAGTGGGCCAACATGACGAGTCTGGTCAAAAAGAGCATGCAATATAATACCTTAGCAAAAATTTTACCGACTCTGAAAAAAGATACTCATTGCTCGAGAAAACTTATTGTACTTTGGCAAGGGCTGCTCTCCGACTAAGACATTATATGCTGACTCATACTACCTTGTTGATCTCTAAGATGGATCCGATCAAATACATATTCGAGAAACCCGCTCTCTCCGAAAGAATAGCCATATGGCAAATGGTCTTAACAGAATACGACATTCAGTATACCACTCAGAAGGCTATTAAAGGAAGTGTACTGGCAGATCATTTGGAACATCAAGTTGTAGACGACTATCAATCTATGAATTTCGAGTTCTCAGATGAGAATATCATGCAAGTTACAAACTGTAAAGAGCCTAGACCGTATGAAGGACCTGAGCCCGGATCCCGATGGACTATGGTTTTCAATGGAGCTTCTAACGCGCTTGGTAACTGAATTGGTGTTGTGATTATATCTCCCAAAGGTTTCCATGTGTCGTTTACCTCCAGACTATGCTTTGATTGTACCAATAACATGGCAGAGTACGAAGCATGCATTATGGGTATCAATGATGCTATTGATATAAGAATCCAATTATTAGATGTGTATGGAGATTCAGCCCTAGTCATCAGTCAGATTAAGGGAGAATGGGATACGAAGCACCCGAATCTCATTCCTTATCGGGAGCATGTATTGACCTTAATCACGTACTTCGAGGAGACCACTTTTGAACATATTCCGTGAGAAGAGAATCAATTGGCAGACGCATTAGCTACCATGTCATCCATGTTCAAAGTAAGATGGGACAATGAAGTTCCTCGAATTACCATTGAGAGACTAGACGAGTCGGCACACTTCTACGAAGATGACACTGCTACATAGTAGAGGAAAGGCATTGGTTTCATGAAGTAAAGAGATATATCGAGGCTCAAGAGTACCCCTAAGGGGCATCTATCAATGACAAGAAATTCCTATGAAGGTTCTCTGCTAATTTCTTTCTGAGAAACATAACTTTGTACAAGCACAACCATGATTCGACTCTGCTTCGTTGCATAGACAAGAAGGAAGCTAAGAAAATTATGGAAGATATGCACGAAGGTGTCTTTGGTACTCACTCTAGTGGACATACTATGGCTAAAAATATTCTGAGAGCGGGTTATTATTGGTCGGATATTGAAACTGATTGCCATTGTCATTTAAGAACTTGTCACAAATGCGAGATCTATGCTGACAAAGTACACGTACCTCCGGTTCCTCTGAATGTCTTGACTTCTCCTTGGATATTTTCAATATGGGGTATTGATATGATTGGATAAATTAAGTCTACTTCCTCTAACGGACACCGTTTCATCCTCGTCGCCATCAATTATTTCACAAAGTGGGTTGAAGCGACCTCATTTACCTTCGTCACCAAGAAAGTTATGGCCTGGTTCATTAAGCATAACCTCATATGTCGGTACGACATCCTTGAAAGGATTATCACGGACAATAGTATTAATCTTAATAATACTATGATCACGGAACTATGGACTCAGTACAAGATCAAGCACCACAAATCTTCTCTGTATCGACCGAAGATGAATGGTGCAGTGGAAGCCGTCAATAAGAACATTAAGAAGATTATACAGAAGATGAAAGTGACATATAAATATTGGCATGAGATGTTACCATTTGCTCTTCATGGCTATCGTACCTCAGCCCATACATCAACTGGGGCAACCCCATTCTCTCTAGTCTACGGTATGGAAGCTGTACCTATCAAAGTCCAGTTTCTTTCTCTAAAGATCATGAAAGATGCAGGTTTAGACAAAGATGAGTGGATTCAGACTAGGATGGACCAGTTGAGTTTGATTGACGAAAAGAGGCTTGCGGCTGTTTGCCATTGTCAGATGTATCATAAGCGTATGATCAAAGCCTTCAATAAGAAAGTCAAGCATCGAGTATATCAGGCTGGTGACTTGGTAATAAAGTGCACCATCATACCATAAGGTAATCCCAGGGGAAAATGGACTCCCACGTACGAAGGGCCATTTATAATCGAGAAGATATTCTCTGGTGGTGCTATGATACTTACTACCATGGACGGTGAAGACTTTCTGCACCCTGTGAACGCGGACATAGTCAAAAGATATTACGCATGAAAATGACCCGCTAGGTTGACTGACCTAGGAAAAAATAAGGGCATCACGGCGAACCAAAAAGGTTCAGGCAAAAATTAGGGATATATATGAAGAGTGTACACCCGACAAGTCGAAAACCTGAAAAGGCGACGTGGGAAAAAAAGGGTATCCCGGTGGACTGTAAACCCGAAAGGGCGGCAGGAAAAAGTTAGGGATTAAAGCGTACAACTATGTCCCATTGGATCATCTACTTACATCAAGCTTTGTTATCGACTTCAAGTTCAAGCTATGTTATACGAAGCTACCGATACACTTCAATGACATCTTGCATCCATACATCATTTACAAGTATCATAGAATATGCATACGAAATGTATATAGTACTCTCATTTACTTTGAGAATATCATTATGCAATGTATTACATACATCATGACATTGCACAAAACTAACTTTGTTTCTTTTAGGTTAGTTCACAAACAGACGAATATCATCAACAACTTTCAAACATATCATAGATTAATTCCTGAAACAGGACGGGGCAACTATCTATATGACCAGGTCCAAGATTAATTCCCGAAACAAGACGAGGAAACTATCTATATGACCGAGCAAATATTAAATCCCAAAACAGGATGAGGAAACTATCTTTATAAATAGGCAAATATTAACTCTCGAAATAGGACGGGGAAACCATCAACATGGCCAGGTGGTATGAGTTCCCGAAATAGGACGAGTTTACCAACAAAAATAGATTATGGATCAACTCCCAAAACAGGACGGGGCGACTATCTACATGATAAGAATTTACCTCAGAGACTGAATTCTGACAAGCATTTCCCTCAGAGACTAAATCTGACAAGCAGCTACTTAAGCACCTTCCCTGGAGGTTCATTCTGGAAAGCATTTTTCAGATGAAGTCAAGAATAGACTCATTTTGATACTCTTAACAACAGTTACCTTGATGGCATCTATAAGCCCATCTCTGACGACATTCCGTCATCTCTCTGAATGACATCTTTAAGCCCATTCAAGCAGTATGATCAACCAATAGTGTTACTTCGTGCATATACGAGTGCATATTTCTGGGCACTAAAGAATTCAATCCTCTTCCAAGTTTAAGAAGATTTAATAGGGGAATCTATTATTCTCCAAAATTTTCCCTCCCTTTTTCTTCAAGACATTCTCCTAGGGTTCTCAAATGCTCAAGGTTGCTAAAGAATTGATCAGACAAATTCTCCTCCTAAGCAATGGACTTACAACTAGGGTTTCATTTTTCTCAAGGAAGTTTGGGTTTCTAAGGCCTCTTATTTATGTGGTTTCTTATAGTTCTCCAAGAATGCCCATACCAAGTTTCATGCCTTTTATCACAAGTTTGCTCAGTCAATTGCTCAAATGACTAAAAGTCAACTGTATTGGGTAAAAAGACAATTATGGTCAACATACAGTCAAACTTCAATATTTTTGGTCAACGTAAAGGTTTTGAAATAATATTCTTCATTTGATCAAGGATTTATCATGATTCATCAAGGAAACTCTCAAATCATCAAAAGTCAAAAGTTACTAAATTAGGGATTTCCTTAGGAGAAGTCAACGGAACTTTGACCAGGCATAACTTTCACAAGTTTCATCAGTTTTTCCCCAACCGAATCTCATTTTGAATAAAATTAATTCTATACAACTTTGTATCTCTAATCTCAAGTCCAAAAATGCTTCATTTGAGAGATATGGACCAATACATTATAGGTCATTTCAAAAGTCCACAAAAAGACACTTTTTGTCAAGGCAACTTACATCAGGACAAATTCTTCAAATTCAAAAGTGGTCAACATAGATATTGTGGAGGACATATTGAGCTCTCTAAAAAGTCTAATATAACCTTCAAATGGTGAAAATTGAGGAGTTATGACCTGTGCAAGTTGGGAAGTTTTAAGCAGATGCATGAAGTTCAAATTGAGCAAACTTGATATTTTGGGCTATTGGGCTATCATTTCATAGTCCAAGCGTGTACTACAATCCTTATGCACCTCAAAACTTGTTCATGCACCTCCCTTTGATTTATTATATTTTATTTTTGATTTTTTATTATTTTAAAAGTCAAAATAAGATAAAATAAGACAAGGCTTTTGACACAAGTCTAAACCCATATATTCTGACCTAATTCAATGTTATATATTCTCAGTAAGTTAGACATAAAGGCCACAAAAAACTTTCTGCAAAATTCACCTCCAAAAAAATCACAAAATCATCAAACTAAGGCAACCTTCAAACCCTAGTTTGCGGCCATCTCCCAAACATTCTTTCACTCCCAATCAATTTCTAAAGAGGTACAGAGTAAGAATGAATCCAATACAATGATCTAAACCTTCCAGAATTAGCACGCATTCATGGTTGTTGCATGTTTTTTTGCAAAAATTCGTATCTTGATTGCTTGCATGTTTTATTGCATACTGACCTTTCTAACATGTCCATGAGGTATTAATATGCAGGAAGGGACCATTGCAGGAGTCCTATGCTACCAGAATCATGCATCACCATGATTGCATTGATTCCATGTATTCTGGCCATAGCTCCATATCCATTGCGTTTCAATCAAAACTAAGCATCCCAATGAATTCATAGGCCCTAATTTAGGGGGTAGGGTGTTCCTAGATTGCTAATCTTTGTTATTTTTCAGGGTCACGAAAAGGGGTTACCGGAGAAGACGGCCGAATCTAGGGCTTCAGTGCCTCTCCGATTCAGGAAACAATCTTATATTATATTTTTTTTTATATAAGTTAAACGGATGTATTACTGCCCCATCAGTTGAAGCGCGCGCGATAAAGACTTACTATGCCAAGGCCTAGGTTCGATCCCAGCCTTTTGGCATTTTGATGTTTTGATGATTTCACTTGTTTTACAAATGATAAAGCGCGTTGAGGTTGTTTCTTGACACCAAGGCGCACCTGGCCTAGTAATGAATGTGCTAGTTGAAAGGGTAGAGGGCGTGGTTATCAAGAAAATCACCAAAAATAATTTCCTTCTCCTTTCGCTTTCTTATCTTATATTTTCCACTACGCCAAAAATGATTTTTTGTATCACCTAATTTAATAGCACTTTTAAAAAAAATGCTATTAAAATGGAAAAAACACATTTATAATAGCACTTTTTAATCGGGCGCTATTATATAATACAGACTATGTAATTTTGATAGCACTTTGTACCAGAACGCTATTATTAAACTTCTTTAAGATAGCATTTTGTATAAAACGCTATTATTTGACTACCTATATAATAGCATTTATTAAAAAGCGCTATGTTATATATAATAATGAATTAATTAATTAATTGATAAAAAAAAAAAACAAAACACATCGTCAAAAGCACTGTGCAATCCAGTCACTAGCAAGTTCATGTTCAATTCTTTCTCCTCATAAAACTCTTCAACGCATTCGCCTTTCGATTTTCCCCTACAACCACGCGTGTAAGTTTCCCAAACCCACAGCGAACGTAACCGTTTCCCATCAATTTTCCCCTTTCGATTTTCCCGGCCACACCACCGCCGTCATCGCCGCTTCATCCACCGACGACAGCGGCATCCCGTCTCAAGATCTCGCAGTTCTCCTCGAAGTCGATGGGTGAATTTTCGCTTTTCTTCGTTATTAACAATCTCGTTTCAGTTTCACTCTGCTCAACTTGTTTGAACTGTTGTGGTTGTTAATTGTTTTATTTATTTATTTATTTGTTTTTTAGGGTTCTTGTGGATGCATACCGTGGGAATCGCATAGCCTTCAATAAAGGTATCAACAGTTCGACTGTGCTCACTGTCACTGCTCATCTATAATTCCATATTCTCCTTGTGTTATTCTGTTTTCATGGAGTGTAACGAACTGTTGTTTTTCGATTTTGATTTCGATGTTGTGCTTGCAGCATTTGAGAAACTTGGACTTGATTGTGCGAGCTGGAGCGAACCTGTCTATTCAGATCTTTTAAGGTGTTTTTTTGGTTATTTGTTCCCTTTTGACCTTGCCACAACACATTTATCTTGACAGTTGATATGCAATGCAAGATAATCTGATTGATCTTCTCAGGTATGCCAACCTGCTGCATAACCTTTTTGATAAAGCTCCAACTCATGTCATAGGCCTTAGATAAATCCAGCTTGATAGAAAAAAAGTCCTTGTTACCTTTAAGCTTATTCATGCTATGGACCATTTCATTAGTCATGACAATATTCTCATGGATGCTTCTCTTGGGGATGAAACCAGTTTGATAAGGAGAAACCATGTCATCAATACCTATCTTGTGCCTATTGACCACAATCTTACTAATAATCTTGTAAATGGTATTGCTGATAAGATCTTTGACATACTGCATCTTTCCATTACTGAATTGATGACACAAATTTGTAAGGTTGGCCACTAAGCCACTCTCCTCACGCCACTGCTAATCAAGTAAAGTCTCATAATTGTGTTTGTTAGAAGAAGTGTTCTTGTTAGCTTATATGACTAATTTTATATTATGAATCTAACTGTAGTTGAGCATGTCGAAGTTAAACTGAATTCTTGGTGTTCACTTCAGCATTAATATCATGTTCAAATGTTGAATCTTGTTGTTTTGAATTCTTTCAATCCTTGTCCTCTATCATGATTCATGAGATTATTGCATTATTGTGTATTGGAGTGAATGAACTGTTGGGTTTTCATTTTTAATAAACATGTTCATCTTGCAATTTGAAATCATGTCAGATCACACTTGTAGCAATGCAGTGCCTATTTTCTTCTCTTGATCAATATGCATAAATTATGAAAATCATATGAAAAATTGATAGTCATTCTTGGTGTTAATTGAATTCTTGGTGTTGATTGTATTTGCAGATCAGGTGATGTACACATTGCAGCTTCATAAATATATGTTAATCAATATATACAAGTGAAAGAGTGACATGAAAAATCATGGTAGGGTAAATAAATATTGCTATGTAGCTGACACTGTTAATTATGATACCAATTTGAATAGGAATGTCCAAATGAGCCATTGCTGGCATAGTTGTTGGAGGAGCTTTTGGAATTTTACTTTTGGCACTCATTCTCTATGTTGTGTTCTATAGAAGAAAAAAAGTTGCTCAAGTAACCCTTCTACCAGTCCCAGGTGCATCTGAAGAACAATATAGCCAACTCCAACATGGTATATATCATATTTTGTTGTTAACTGTCTAGTGATATTTTCTAGTTCTAGATTGTAGATTAAGTTTTCATGTATATATATGAGGATTATTTGTTCCATGGATTTAGGTTGTGGAAGTAGCTTGGATAAGGCTTCCGAATCAACTACTATTGCTTCTCCGAGGTTGACTGGTATTACGGTTGATAAGTCAGTGGAGTTTTCATATGAGGAGTTAGCCAAAGCTACTGACGGATTTAGCGCGGCAAATATAATAGGTCGAGGTGGATTTGGATCTGTTTACTATGCCGAGCTTCGCAACGAGGTTTGTGTGTTTAAAATCTATTTTAAAATGGAAATTCAATTTATTAGCAGCAATGAACATACTTAGAAACTATATATATATATATTGATTTTGATTTGGACTAGAAATAAGAGTTGCAGTAACAAGAACTTATTTGTTTATATGTAATTATTTGTAAATGAATCAACCGAAATGCTGTTCATCTTCAAGTGTCTCTAGATCTCCTTTTGCTTTCCATATTTTATATAGGTGTGTTTTGGTCTGTCAGTAAACCAATTTCTACTTCTACTTCTTTATCTGTTTCTTTTTCTTGAGTAAGCTTTTACTTTGTAATGCGGAAACTATCCTTAACTTCTCTTGTATCTGATGTCACAAACTGCAAAGAAGTATATAATGCTTAAAATGTATTTAAGATAAAATAAAGAAATCATGATTCTCTGATGTATTTTGCTTAAAAAATGAAATGGTGATTGAGGTTGGAATATAAGTATATAAATACTAACCTCCAAGTTTAAATCATTTTTAGTAGCATGTGCTCGTAAATAACCAAACTCAGAAATTCTTTTAAGACTCCAGCTCTCTCCCTGCCAATGCAATAGAACAAACAGTTTCATTTGCATATTAAAAAAATCATAAGCACAGTCCAAACTTTTATATAAATGAACAAGGTTCGATCTAAATTGTGGCTGCAATTTAAAGGTTTTAGAGGTCTCGGCAACAACATTGCTATGCAATATCAAAGTTTGCATTGTAATGGCAACTGCAACCACAACTACAATTTAGATCCATGAATATATAAACGAGTTTGATAAAGGGAAAATTAGTTACATTGTTTGAGGATTTGTCCAAGGTGAAGCCAGCCATGCCAATGACAGCATGTACGGGTGCACTATAATTTTTGTTATCATAAGTGTCTACTCCCTTTTGATCTTTTATAGGCATGGCTTTGCACTTATTCTGATAGACAGAACAAGTTCTTTCATAGTTATGCACATGGCCAAAAAGTGCCAAGTCAACCTGTTTCATATTCATAATACACAGTTAGCTTCTTATACAAGGCACTGTAAGTAACAGAATTCTAAGGAGTTTGATGTTCTTGCCGTATTCTCAAATAGCAATGGCTCCACAGCTTTAATAAAATTTTGATCTTTAGACGAAAATCCTTGGTTGGAAGTGTACATTGGTCTATGTCTGCAAATAAAAATAGTATGTTCAATAAATGTTGTGATTTTATTTCAGTTTGAGTGGTATAAGTCAGCTGAATCATGACTCGGAAGTCTCGTTGGCTCAATGTTAAGTTTGGTTTTTAAAACATTAGTTGAGAAACCACAATCTAAAAATTTACATAAATCACTTACCCCATGAAGACTAACCAAGGAGTATGTTGTCTATTAACGGATGCCATATCCTTTTTCATCCATTCATACTGCAATATGAATTTTACATATATGAATCATTTAATTAAATTAGAAATATATGAAATAGGAAATAATTATTTATTTAATTAACCTGTTGAGAATTTATGGACCAGTCATGTTCAGTGGATATTACTGTAAAATGAACACTTGCTTGTTCAATTGAGTACCAAGGCTTATCCTTTGCAGAAGTGGGCATTGGAAAGTATGTTTCATAAGGTACTCCACATTCACCACCAGAGTCGGGTGTTTGATAAACCGAACTAGAACTTACATAATCCCTGTGAATATAAATAAGAACAAGTTTGAACAGAATAAGCCATTCAATTATTGTTAAAATGTTTGAACAGAATTATGATTATTAATGTGGATGCAAGCAATACCTCTCATGGTTCCCAATTGCTGTCATGTAAGAAACTCTTGAAGCTACTGGACTAATAAGGTTCATAAAGAAATCCCATTCTGCTAGAAAACCGGTCGCATAGCTTATGTCTCCAATGTGAAAAACCGAGTTTAAATTGTTGGAATCCACTTCACTAGCTATAGCTTTTATAACTGATAAAGCTCCAGGCTACATGAAAAACAAGATCATGCTGGTCAACACATAGTGGTACAATGTATTGGTGAATAATTCAGATTGAAGATGTCTTTGGTGTCTGACACTTGTTTATGTGGAAGAGTGACCCGACTCTTGCACATATGATTACATTCAATCATTTTCATTTTCGTAAGTTCACCACCTGTCCAATCCTAATGTGTTATCTCAATATGCATTTCAGTTGTAAATGCTGTTTCATATCAATTTACCTGAATGTAATGTTCCTCTGAAGCATCAAGAGGGGTCTTTCCCATATCGCCAAAGCTACTGACGGATTTAGCGCGACAAATATAATAGGTCGAGGTGGATTTGGATCTGTTTACTATGCCGAGCTTCGCAACGAGGTTTGTGTGTTTAAAATCTATTTTAAAATGGAAATTCAATTTATTAGCAGCAATTAACTTTTTCTTTTTTTTGTTGTTGTTGCAGAAAGCTGCAATAAAAAAGATGGATATGCAAGCATCAAAAGAATTCCTAGCCGAACTAAAGGTTCTGACACACGTTCATCACTTGAATTTGGTATGACCTTTTCCTAGCTCCAATATTATTCAAAGTTGAAGCATGATACTGATACAGATACAGACACGACACTGACTCGTATAAACTTAGTAACGGTTTAAGAAAATGAAAATGAATGTAACCATGGCGTGTGTGAGACACCTAAAATACTTTGAATCCAAAGTGTCTCTGCTACAAATGATCTTATGCTAGTCATGTAGAAACTAGAAGTTACTTGCATAACAAGATATTGAAATATATACAGTTACTTATTTCCAAAATCATGATTCCTTGCATACACATATTCTACGCAGGTGCGGCTAATTGGATATTGTGTTGAGGGCTCCTTATTTTTGGTTTATGAATACATTGAGAATGGAAATCTAAGTCAACATTTGCGCGGCACAGGTTGTCAATAATAACAATAACTTGAACTTTGAATAATTCTAATTGCATCATTTTATTGATGATTATAAGACTCTTAAGATATTTGATTTATAGGGAAGGATCCATTATCATGGGCAGCTAGAGTTCAAATTGCATTAGACTCAGCAAGAGGACTTGAATACATTCACGAGCATACAGTTCCTGTCTATATACATAGAGATGTTAAATCAGCAAACATTTTGATAGACAAAAACTTCCGCGGAAAGGTTCGCAAATGATTTATCCAATTTTTATTTATTTATCTTAAAGTTGAGTTCGGGCGGTTTAACTTTTCTTTCATAGGTTGCGGATTTTGGTTTGACAAAATTGACTGAATATGGTAGTTCCTCGTTACAAACACACCTTGTCGGGACGTTTGGATATATGCCTCCTGAGTAAGAAACTAAATCATAAATAGACCTTAAATTTACCTTTCCTTGATATGTATGTGAAAAAGATGATGAGGGTTGGATCATTAATTCAAATAAAAATGGAGGAAAGTATATTTGGTGAGGAGTTTTTAGAGCAACTACGTGTAGAGAGTATAAAGGAGATTCTTGATCACAATTGGTTAAGTGCATCTATTATCACTGTATTTTCCAGGTACCTCTATTATTACAAATATTCTCTTATTTGACAAATATATTATTAATATTAATGTTATTTGTATTGTTGACTAATATTCACATTGGTGACAAATATATTAATATCAATTGTTGTTCATTTCTAGGTATTTGTATGACAAGTTTATTTCTAGGTAATTGTGTCTAAATTAATGTTATTTTAAAACAATTATGTGGAGTAAAATTAATCGATATAAATTTTTTTTTGTAGTGTCCTCGTCAAATTAATGGCGTTGATTGTGGATACTTCAACGCTTTTGGATCATGAAGGTGGTTATTACATGGGATTGTTTTGTTATCCTTTCTTATTTTTTTGGTGTTTTGTTTAGAGAATTTGATTGTATGTTTTTGGATTTGGATTGAAGTACTCATAGATGGGCATCTACAAATTTGGCTATGCAAACGCCCTCTTAATATTCTATATGTTATGATATTTGGAAACAATAGGATTTGGTAATTTAAAATGTTATTTGGTATTTGATGGATCATAATATATATGCAATGAGTAACTTAAAGCGTTATTTGTGTTGAATTGAATATAGTTATTTTATATTTACACCAAAAAAAATGATTGTGTAAGAAAAAATATTGTACTGTACTTATTAAAAATATTGTACCAAATATGTACCATTTATTAGCACTTTATTTGAAAGCGCTATCAAACATATGTTATATATTAGCGCTTTTTGTTTAGAGTGCTATAAAAAAACAAACAAAAAACATGCAAAATACTGACTTTGATAGCACTTTAATTAAAACGCTATTATAAATTGGTACTTTAATAGCGCTTTTAAAGTGCTATTAAATAAGAAATATTTACAATAGTGGCGCGGTTAATAGCACTTTTAAGCGCTATCAAAAACAAAAAAAAGCGCTATTAAATAGCTTATTTGGCGTAGTGTTCGCGTAGTTTATTCTTTTTGCATTTTTTATGATTATGTAACTGCTCATGGTTTGTAATAGGTAATTAGGATTTTACTTTCCCTGCTTTTTTATTACCTGTACCCCCCATTCCCGAGGCCATGTGATATTGTAGGAATCTTTATTTTCCGCATTTACTTTCCACACTATTTTACTATTACTGTTACTAATTAGGATTGTATGGCAAGATTAAAAGCAAACAGTAGCTAACCCTAATGTAAAATAAACAATAACTGAATCACAACACACTTTACACACTTGCACCTATAGGGTACCCTCTCTTGTTGCCTTATGAATAACAGTGATGTCCCTCGAATGTGGGGACGGTTTAGCACAGTCCCTAGATTAAAAAGATCATAGTCCCTCGATCACCCTTTCAAATGTTGCCTTCTATAAACGATCTAGTCACTTACGAGATTGCTAAAGCGTCCTTACTAGTTGCCTTTGATGACTGAACAATGATCAACGCCTGTCCCTTCACATCCAATGATAGGGCTCCATACTAACTAATGGTAGGATAAGCACTATCTAAAGGAGGAGGAAAATAATAATAAATAATTTGAGTAGGTAAATCGCTTGCTCACAAACCTTTTCAAAACAAAAACC